CTCCGGCTTCTTCGTCATGGTGCTGCTGGCTCTGGACTTCCTCTACTACTCGGCCATCAATTATGAGCTTTGCCGGGTCTACCTGGAAAAATGGGGGCTGGGCGGCCGCTGGCTGAAGAAGGCCCGCAGTCAGTGGCAACGCTCCATGGAGGACGAGGGCCAGGCCCAGGCTCCGCCCACGGTGCCCGGCCTCTACCAGCCTCGACAGAGCCTCCGAGGGGAGAGCCACAGCCCCACGCTGCTGCCCCACAACACGTCCAGCGCATGGTGAGTCACTGTGGGGTGCACGGAGAGGGCCGCTATCCCATAATATAAAACCGGTAAGGGTTTCACAAATCACCTTGGTAACAGCCAGGAAATTTGTATCAGCGATGACTTTATGTGTCCCCAAATGTATTTTTGATAATAAAAAAATGTCTTAACTTTTTCATCTAGGTTTTTTTTTTTTTGATATTTTCATTTTTTGTTTTTAAGTTTGACCAATAAAAACGTGCGCAATTTGGACTTTGCCATGCAATAGAAATTATAGTGATAACATTCCAGAAAACAAAAATTATACCTGTTGCTGAACCTAAACCTGAATTTGCAAATATGAGAAAATATATTATGCTATTGCATATTATATATTTTTTTATATTGTTAGTATGAAAATCTGATGTACTGGAGAAAACATGCAGATTCAGAATCTAGAAAAAACAAAAAAACAACGAATCTAGAAAAGTTTTTTTGCATCTGATTGAAAAAAAAAAATTGCCAAAATGTGTTTTGTTGATCAGTGTAATTATGTGAAGGAACATTTCAACATCCTAAACCACAATATAATAAAACTAAAATAATGTCAAATTGTTCACCCTTTTTTAACCAACAGTGGAAATAATGGAAATAAAAATTATAGAATAAGTTACATGGTCCTATCATGTCCATGAGAAGCGTTTTTTTTTCTTTTGTCTGAGGCCTCATGTGAGCTTTGTTCGCACACTCAAGATGATTTACAACGTGACTTAGGAACCAAAGGAATTATCTTGTCTCCTTTCAGGAGCCTTCTTGTTGGAAGCGATGCAATCATGCCGAGCAAAGTCACGTTCGCGTCCTGCGCACTCAATTTCTCCTTCGCTTTCCTAGCAGTCTGTCTGTTTCCGCCGTCCCTTTCGGGCCATGATCATTTCCCCGAGCCGTTTTTTTTTTTTTTTTTTTTGACAAATGACTTCTACGGCTAGAGATGGCAGAGCGGAGGACGCTTCGAGAGTCATCCTGCGTCCCTTCCGCCTGCTAGAGAGCCGCTTAACTAAGAATGAACACGTCCGCGGGGCCTCCTCATTAGACATCAGCTCAGCTCAAGGCGATGGCGCTCATCAATCCTGTTGACTGGCGAGGAGAACCCGCCGAGCTGCCTTTAAGGCGATGAAAAGGAAAAAGATGGTTGAGAGAAATGCTCGGTGGCAAAGTGGGCCACAGAAAGGAACGTGCGCTCAGCTAAATTTTGCTCATTCATGCTGTTGATTGTTTCTGTATGACTGATGCGTGCAGTGTAAGCAGGACATACAGTGGTACCGCTACTTACGAAATTAATTGGTTCTGGAAGAAATTTCTTCACTAGAAAATTTTGTAAGTAGAGACGTGTTTTCCATGTAAATGCCCAAATCCATTCCAAGCCCCCCCAAAATTCAGACATAAATAACTCAGAGCTGCGAGGAGTAACCCGTACTGTATTTTTACCTTTGGTATCTTGAAATTTTTTCGTATCAAGAGGCAATATTTTCCTGTTGAGACATTTCGTAACTTGAAAATATCGCACCGTGAATGATTTACTTTCTTATCAAACGGCACGGTGCCGCCATCTTATGGCATCCTCTGACATTTCTTTTCATTTCTTTTCACGGAATTTCTGATCAACCTCAAATATGAGGATTACCGTCTGTGATGAAACTGAAATGAAGTAAAACTGCTCCCTCCCTCAAACGGGGCTACCCGAGTAGGGCGTTACTAAAGCGCCCGCGGAGCAATTGAGGGTATCAACATTGTGTGGCCAGGGGATGTTGAGGGGCTGGATGGGGGTGGTCTTGACCCGCAGCCTCTCCACACTGGTGGGGGACAACCTGAACCACATGGCCACAGCTGTCTGTTTCACGAAATAAAACTCACTCCACTCGGTTTCCTGTGGTATTAATAATGCTAATAATCATTTAATGTTGACGTCATTCCTGGCAAGTGTGACTTGAGGGCGGCGCGCCAAGACCTCGCCAAAGCATATCAGCACTCGCCATGTGGCGCGAGCTAATTAACGCCACGGCGCAGCCTGTGTAGAGGAGTCAAAAAGTTTTTCCAAATCCCTTCTGGCTTTGCCGCAAGAATGTGGATCTTTCTTCTCGTGATCTTTTATTAGATGATTTCCATTTTTGTGGGTTTTTTTTTCTCCTCGGGAGCGCTGCATTACAATAGCTCATGTTTGCAACTTACTGTTTCACTCTTTTCTGATTTCTTGAACAAAACTCAAGATCGTTCTGTTAAATTCAACAAAAACAACAACGGTGTCACCGAGAACAATTACAAATGCCTTTGATTTTTTGCAAGACACATCAATGGAATTTTGTTCCTGGACAGTCTGTCAGGTAGACTCTCATGTGGTTCCATGGTGTAATGGTTAGCACTCTGGACTCTGAATCCAGTGATCCGAGTTCAAATCTCGGTGGAGCCTGTGGTTTTTTTTTTTTGTTTTTTTTTTCAGAGGGGAGGAGGGTGTGCCTGCTTGCCTGCACCCAAATGGACCCTGCCTCAGGACCACCTTGCCGGACACACAACTGCAGGCTCCGTTAGCAAAACCATCTATACCCCCAAACACTCCCCGGCATTGATATTGTCTTTGCACAGTGGTCGTTTCGTAACCTACAAAGTCGAGCCAAGGAACGATTATTGCAAGCTGAAAACTTTACCCAATACCCCTCCATGGTCACGTCGGCGATATCAAATTTTGTTCCTGGACAGCTTCACAGAAGGTGGTCTATGTGGTTCCATGGTGTAATGGTTAGCACTCTGGACTCTGAATCCAGCGATCTGAGTTCAAATCTCGGTGGGACCTGGATTTTTTTTTTAAAAGATCGACTGTTGAAAAAAAAAAAAAAAAAAAACAGTAGGTTTTGGTTTATTTTTTTGCACATCCATGGTTCCATTTGTCTCCTGTGCCCAGACATACCCCAATTCAAGACCACCCCATCTGGACACACAACTGCAGTGTCCTTCAGCAAGATACCAAGACCTCAAAATGGTCCCTTTGATGTTGGAGCAAGCAGTGGGTGACGCTCCCTGAATCGACTCGCTGTGATCGGTCAAAAGTCATATACATGGGTCCTACAAGCCTTGTGATGAAAAACTGTGGTAATGGAAATGCTGCTCCAAGTGCGACCTCTCACTGTAAGGAGTAGCAAGCAACAATGACATGGAGAGGTCAAGTGGTCAGCGTTATCTTTGCGCAGCGGCAGTATCGTTGCCGATGAGGTCTAACCGAGGCGCGATTATTGCTAGTTGAAAACTTTACCCAATACCCCGCTTTGCTGACTTGAAATATAGTCAGCTATGGCAATTTTTGGTGGTCTCTTCAGAGACTGATTTATTCTGTCAATGAAATTGTTTACCAATTGTATGTGTCGTTGAAGTTTTTTTGTGGTGTTTTTTTTTTTTTTTATCTCTATCACTTTTTCTCAAGACTTTGTGAGAGCCAAAAGATTTGTATGATGTCAGAATTGGTTTGGTCCATGGACAAATAAGCACTTCTCTCAACTGTTCATGAAAACTGTGATTATGTAAATGTAGTTCCAAGTACGCCCCCTTACCGTAAGGAGTACCAAGCAGTCATGTAGGTTCACTGGTTGAAGTTTCTGATCCTGAACATGCTGACAGCTGACATGATTCCTATAGATGGTTCCATGGTGTAATGGTTAGCACTCTGGACTTTGAATCCAGCGATCTGAGTTCAAATCTCGGTGGAGCCTGGGATTTTTATGCATCCATGATTGTCACCTTCGTCCGAAGAGGGACTCAGGATCAAGGCCTCCCCACCTGGACACATAGCTGCAGTGTCCTTGCAGTTTATTTGGTCAGTTCTGTCCACTTTTTTACAGACTGTGTTCTTGATAAAATTAAACGATTAAAACACACAAACCCCAAAATGCCAGTTCAAAATGTCCACTTTTTGAGATCACACAATTTCATGTGGTTCCATGGTGTAATGGTTAGCACTCTGGACTCTGAATCCAGCGATCTGAGTTCAAATCTCGGTGGAACCTGGAATTTTCTTTTTTTGCGCACACATACACACATGGTTTAAGATTGTCACCTGCACCTTGACATACTCTGGTACAAAGCCATCCCTTTGGGACACACAGCTGCAATGTCCTTGAGCAAGCCACCAATTCCTCAAAATGGGCGCTTGAGCAAGCAGTGGGTCAGTCTTGCTCCAAGTGCGACCTCTCACTGTAAGGAGTAGCAAGCAACAATGACATGGAGAGGTCAAGTGGTCAGCGTTATCTTTGCGCAGCGGCAGTATCGTTGCCGATGAGGTCTAACCGAGGCGCGATTATTGCTAGTTGAAAACTTTACCCAATACCCCGCCTTGCCGACTTGAAATAGTCGGTTATGGCAATTTTTGGTGGTCTCTTCAGAGACTGATTTATTCTGTCAATGAAACTGTTTACTGATTATATATATCGTGAAAGCTTTATTAGTGGTGGGGTTTTTTTTCTCCATCACTTTTTATTGTGACTCTGTGAGAGCTAAAAGATTTGTATGATGTCATAATTGGTGTGATCCTTGGACAAGTAAGCACTTCTCTCAACTGATCATGAAAAACTGTGATGATGTAAATGTGGTTCCAAGTACGCCCCCTTACCATAAGGAGTACCAAGCAGTCATCATGTAGGTTGGTTGAAGTTTCTGATCCTGAACATGCTGACAGCTGACATGTTTTGTATAAATGGTTCCATGGTGTAATGGTTAGCACTCTGGACTCTGAATCCAGCGATCTGAGTTCAAATCTCGGTGGAACCTGGAATTTTCTTTTTTTGCGCACACATACACACATGGTTTAAGATTGTCACCTGCACCTTGACATACTCTGGTACAAAGCCATCCCTTTGGGACACACAGCTGCAATGTCCTTGAGCAAGCCACCAATTCCTCAAAATGGGCGCTTGAGCAAGCAGTGGGTCAGTCTTGCTCCAAGTGCGACCTCTCACTGTAAGGAGTAGCAAGCAACAATGACATGGAGAGGTCAAGTGGTCAGCGTTATCTTTGCGCAGCGGCAGTATCGTTGCCGATGAGGTCTAACCGAGGCGCGATTATTGCTAGTTGAAAACTTTACCCAATACCCCGCCTTGCCGACTTGAAATAGTCGGTTATGGCAATTTTTGGTGGTCTCTTCAGAGACTGATTTATTCTGTCAATGAAACTGTTTACTGATTATATATATCGTGAAAGCTTTATTAGTGGTGGGGTTTTTTTTCTCCATCACTTTTTATTGTGACTCTGTGAGAGCTAAAAGATTTGTATGATGTCATAATTGGTGTGATCCTTGGACAAGTAAGCACTTCTCTCAACTGATCATGAAAAACTGTGATGATGTAAATGTGGTTCCAAGTACGCCCCCTTACCATAAGGAGTACCAAGCAGTCATCATGTAGGTTGGTTGAAGTCTCTGATCCTGAACATGCTGACAGCTGACATGTTTCGTATAAATGGTTCCATGGTGTAATGGTTAGCACTCTGCCCCGCCTCCTGATGCCAATTCAAAATGTCCACTTTTTGAGATCATACAAGTTCATGTGGTTCCATGGTGTAATGGTTAGCACTCTGGACTCTGAATCCAGCGATCTGAGTTCAAATCTCGGTGGAACCTGGACTTGTTTTTTTTTTTTTTGCGCACACATGGTTGAGTTTGTTCCCTGCACCTTGACTTACTCTGGTCGAAAGCCATCCCTTTGGGACACACAGCTGCAATGTCCTTGAGCAAGCCACCAATTCCTCAAAATGGGCGCTTGAGCAAGCAGTGGGTGACCACTCCCACAATCTGCTCAAAATGGTCCCTTTGGCGTTTGAGCAAGTAGAATCTGCTCACTGTGATGGGACAAATATCATTTACACAGGTGGACATGACCAAAATGTGTCAATTGATGCTGCTCCAAGTGCGACCTCTCACTGTAAGGAGTACCAAGCAATAATGACACGTTGAGGTCAAGCGGTCAGTGTTATCTTTGCGCAGCGGCAGTATCGTAGCCTATGAGGTTTATCCGAGGCGTGATTATTGCTAGTTGAAAACTTTACCCAATACCCCGCCTGGGTGATTTGAAATATAATCAGCTATGGCAATTTTTGGTGGTCTCTTCAGAGACTCCTTTTTTTCTGTCAATTAAATATCCTTTCTAAAGCTGATGGGAAGCTCTCTGGCCCACCTTTTGTGACTTTCGGGTCAGTGACATTCCCAAATAAATGAAATTATTGAAATACAAAAACTCTCCAAATTGAAACATTCAAATTGCAGTTCACAATTTCCACTTTTTTGAGAGCGTCAAGTTTTGTAACATGTCATACTTGATTTTATCCAAGGAAAAAATCTGGACTTCAAATTCTGATCTTGGACAGCTGACATACTCCTTGCATGTGGTTCCATGGTGTAATGGTTAGCACTCTGGACTCTGAATCCAGCGATCCGAGTTCAAATCTCGGTGGAATCTGAATTTTTTTTTTTTTTTGGGTGGGGTGTCATTCCCAGAATTGAGTTGTATTATATGACAATTTGTGCGAGGAGATTCTTCTGTCCTTTGATTCCCCCCCCCCCCGCAAAAAAACCCCCAAAAAAACAGACATCTGCTCGCATTTTGTCCTTGGCATTTTTCACATTTTGGTTCGGAAGTGTACAGCCTTATGTGGCCTCCAGGAGCACCGACCAAAAATTGGAGCGCCCTTTATGGTTTAAGTTGCCCGTCACTGCTTTAACATTTTCCCTTTTTGTTTTCTTCTTCTTTGGACAGAGCTATGCGGCCGGCAGACAAGTAGCACGCCGTATTCCCAGAGGCCAGAGGAGAACCCCCCCACCCCCCTACAGACACTGCACCCACACTTAGATAGCCAGCCATCCAGGACGTCTTTGGGCAGGGATGCCCCCCGCCCCCCGACCCCCCACCTCTGATGAGCACCAGCCAGCTGTGGAATGACATCGCTGGCATTTAACAAGCCAGCTGAGCGACCAGGACCGGTCGAGTCGCGTCGCCGCAGCTGAGCCGAGCCAAGCTGACCGCCCGGGATAAGTGAGGCTCGAATGTCTGTCGGCAAGCCGAGTGCGGTCGGGAACTGGATGACGTGGTCGGACCTGAAGGTTTTCAAATATGAAACGTTTATTCGACTGTCGTGTCGGTTTGTGTTGCGTAGCAGTTAGACACTGTTCGCTATTTTATTTCTGTGGTGGTCACACAACACGGAGCGCTGAATCTTTTGGGGGCGACGTGTGATTCCTTAGGTGGATGCTGAGCATCTCACGTAGACTCCGCTGTGTTTTCGTTTCTCGAGTGGCCATTATGACTGTCAAACCATGTGAGGAAGTCAAGAATAATGGTTTATTCAACAATTGTTGAAGTGACTGGAATGAGGGCTTTGGTCACAAGAGAATGCTTACAATATACAGTGGTGCCTCTACTTACAAAATGAATATGTTCTCGAAGAAATTTCTTAACTAGAACATTTTGTGAGTTGAGACGTGTTTTCCATGTAAATGCCCTAATCCGTTACAAGCTCCCCCAAAATTTAGACATAAATGTTTTCTAAAGCATAAAAATG